CCAGAGACACTGGCAGAGGGAAAGGAGCAGAACAAGTCAAAGGCTGACACCCTTCACCCTATTTTCTTCCCCAAACCTCAGTCCTCCCCAGGACTCACCACCAAATTTCACTGTCCCCCAGTTCCAGCCCTTCACACAAAGGTCCTTCTCCATTAGCTCAAGGCGATAGTGAGTTTTGAAGAAATCAGAGAGTTTCTCAAACTCCTGTGGGTGGAGGGAAGAAAGCCCAATCTCAGTAAACCCTGGTGGCCTTAACACAGACTTGAATGTCCTGCGATGATCTATTTCTGAGAAACTGCCCCAAAATAGGCTTTATGAGAAACCCATGCTGACTAAGCAACCCAGCCCTAACACTGTTTAAAAGACTGTTGAGGCCCAACGTGGTAGCTCACACCTGTAATCCCAGCATTTTGGGAGGCCGAGGTGGGTGGATCACCTGAGGTCGGGAGTTCTAGACCACCCTGACCAACATGGAGAAACCCCATCTCTACTAAAAATACAAAATTAGCTGGGCGTGGTGGTGGGCACCTGTAAATCCCAGCTACTTGGGAGGCTGAGGCAGGAGAATCGCTTAAGCCCGGGAGGTGGAGGTTGCAGTGAGCTGAAATCACACCATTGCACTTCAGCCTGGGCAACAAGAGCAAAACTCCTTTTCAAAAAAAAAGATTGTTCAAAGAGGTTGCTTCTGGCCATTGGATCTGACATTTCTGGTTATGGGCTTCACAGTGCCATCTGACTTTATACAAACTTTGTATAGGTATTACTTTAGTGAAAGTAGAAATTCAAATCAAATAAAGCCTTTAACTCAAGCAGCTCAAAATGAAAAACAAAACCCACACTTCATCAAGCCGACCACGTGCAATGGCTCATGCCTGTAACCTCAACCCTGTGGGAGGCCAACATGGGCCATCCCTTGAGTCTGAGAGCTCAAGACCAGACTGGGTAATGTGGTGAAATCCCATTTCTACCAAAAATTGTGAAAAAATAGTTGGGCATAGTGGCATGCGCCTGCGGTACCAGATACTCAGGAGGCTGAGGTGGAAGGACTGCTCAAGCCCAGGAGGCAGAGGCTGCAGGGAGCCGAGATTACACCACTGCACTCCAGCCTGGGCAACAGAGCAAGACCCTGTCACAAAAAATAACACAAAAGACATAAAGCCAAGATTCTGAACCTTGATAAAAAGCCACAGGGGGAAACTACTATCTAAATCAAGACAGAAGAAAACCTTCTGGAGTCAAGGTGCACAAATGTTCACAAGACTTCAACACTCAAGGGTGAACACCAATTGCCTGATGGCCTCACAGCCCTGCTCTGAGGAGCCCAAACTAGCAAATCACAGGGTTACATGAGGAAAGAATTTCAAGTCTCTAGATTAAAACAAGATGACGCAGTAAAAAAGGGGTTTGTAGGGGGTTTATAGCCAAGGGACATCTCACCGATTCTCGGAAGCCATCGTACTTGTAGACATGGCCATTCTTTGTAAGCAGTTTAAGTCCATGTCCCAGAGCTACACGGCGCCAGATGCCTTCTGTTAGCTCTCCAGCCTGGATGTTGTCCACTTTGCCGGTCTTGCTATTCTTGAAGATGATACCCTGGCGGCTCAACCTCAGCCGACCATCATTCTGTAAGAAAAGCAGGCTCAGATGCATGCGGACAGTACAAAGCGTGTCCTGGGTACAGTTCTACCCAACACACATTCCAGCTGCAAGGGGGCTGGCCAGATGACCAATGCGGGAGCCACAGCTGAGGAGGCTAAGGAGTCTGTGTGCTCAACCTGGCTCCGGTACCTAGATCCCTTACAGGTTCTCAGTTTCCTCATTTGTAAAACAGGAATTGGGGACTGAACAGCATATACGGTCCCTATAACTCCCGAGACCATCTCTCTATTGCCTTGTGTTGGGGGAAATACTAGGAACACATTATACTGAGTCTTCTTTTTCCAAAATAACATTCCCAAAGCAAGCTCTCGTTAACGGACAAAAACTCTACCCTCCTTCCTTCTCTCTACTCGTATCAACTGTGCGAGCCGTTCTCACCATGGAGCCTTTCACCTCCTGATAGACGTCGTTGAACTCCAGTGTCTCTGCCATGTCGACCCCTGCCTGTGGTGGTCTGGGCAGAGCCCTAGGCTGCACAAGGGAAAGCGAGTCAACTGGGAGCTGGGCCCCGACTCCTGAGTGTGTGTGCGGATGCTCAGCAGGTAGGGAATCTGAATTCAAGAGGAAGACAGATAAGCATGAAAGACACCACCTCGCTGTGCTGGCCGATGAAGCCAGGTGGCAACCCCCATCTGCGCCTGGGATGATTTCCGCTGCCTGGGAACCCATAGGCGGGCGCTGCAGTGCCCGAGGTCCAGGCCCAGGCCCAGGTGGAGAATCGGGCCTGGAATAGCGCTGACATCCAACCCTACACCCACTCTGGCCGCTCCAGCGGGAGCCATGGCAACGAGCAGCGGAACCCCAGGGTCTGCCCGGAGCCCGCACCTCGCACGCGCCCCAACACAGCTCAGAGTACAGGGTTTCCCTCGCACCGTTCCCACCACCCCCAGACCCACGGTTCACCCCCGCCCTACAGAATGGATTCGCCCGCTCCCGCGGTTTCGAATGCGGAATGGTCCATGTCGAGCGTCCCGCGGGGGAGAGGGCCCGTGCCTTTCTGGGACCGGGGGACGACCACCACCTACCTACTCAGGCTGCAACCTCGCGAGGGCCCGGGCGTGGGAGGTGGGCGCGCTGGGGGGACACGGCGGGGCGGGGGGCGGGGGTTGGGAGGGGGGGACACCGGGGAAGCTTTTCCCGCGTGCGCGGCCCCGCGTCCCGCCACCGGAAGCCGAGCACATGCCACAGAGAGGACGAGCTGGCTAGAGAGACGCGAGCCCGGCCCGCCTGCGAGACGGTCGCGTAGAGCGTCGGCGACTCTGGAGGACCTGAGGGAAGGGTGGTTGAAGTCTCTCTCACCCGGCTGTAATCTGCCTCGAAAATGTGTGTAGGGCTCTTTAGAAACTACGGACGCTTCTTCAGTGGAGACTGGATACTAAAGAGAAATTGTGTAATTTTATTGTATCAGACTTAGTACAGGGGTGGGGGTGGGGGGTGTGTACTGGAAAGATGCGTGCCCCTCTGCAAAATAGTTTGTGTGTCATGGAAAGGAGTCTGTGGGACAAGAAGAAAAGTATTTAAGAAATGTGGAAAGAAAGAACCACTCCCGCTGGCTGGGAAGAGAATGCAGGTGTTGGCGTCATCGTAAGTGCCCTGCTTTCTGGCTGGACTGTCAAGTTCACTGTCTATACCCAAAATCTTCACATCCCTAACCGCAATTTATAGGTTCCCCCAAGAGGCTGGCAAATGGCAGTATCCAGTTCAGGTCCTGGTGTCAGATTCACCTCGGAGCCGGAACCGATTTGAAACTACATCATCCTGGGGTTGCGGAAGCCAGGCCTCCTCCTAGACCCAGAGTGCATTTTGCAACATCAGAGAAAACCAGACCTGGAAAAGATGCTTTAGTTTTTCTACCCCAATCTCGTTTTACGGATGGGAAAACTGAGATCCAAAGGAGCTTGAGTTGTCCAGGGTCTCAGTGACTTGGCAAGAAAGCCAGGACCCAGACCTCCTTAACACCACCAGTCCGGTTCTCTTCTGTCGTAATCACATGTTCAGAATGATTGATGATGTGTCCTGTATGAAGACATTAGTACAGAATATGTAAATTCGAGATTCCCCTGACAATCAGTACACCAGCTTGCTAACTCAATCCTGGGGTAAGAGACAACAGGAATACACCCTTCCCCACTGAACTAATAGCTTTAACCTCTGAGTAGTGGCTATTCCAGCACTGTCTAGCAAGAGAAATTCAACTGGGTTTAATAAATAGATATTGAGGGCCTATTACTAACTTAGCACACTTCTTGGATTTGAGGAAACTTGAACAAGGTGAAAACATATCCGGCCGGGCACAGTGGCTCACACTTGTAGTCCCAGCACTTTGGAAGGCTAAGGTGGGCAGATCACTTGTCAGGAATTCGAGACCAGCCTGGCCAGCATGATGAAACTCCCATCTCTACCAAAAATACAAAAATTAGCCGGGCGCAGTGGTGGGTGCCTATAATCCCAGCTACTTAGGTGGCTGAGGCACGAGATTTGCTTGAACCCAGGAGGGAGAGGTTGCAGTGAGCTAAGATTGCGCCACTGCACTCCAGCCTGGGTGACAGAGTAACACTCTGTCTCAAAAGAAAGAAAAGAAAAGTAAAGTAAAGAAAAAAAGAAAGAGAAAAAGGAAAAGAAAGATTGTTTTCAGGAAAACATAATCTAACAAAGATTTGGATAAATAAACTGACAGTTAAAAAAGAAGTGCTAACTGCTACGCGACAGGTAGAGCTTCAGCCATTACCAACTGGAGTTAGAAATCTGTGACTCTTTACTCATCACACCCCAGAAGTCCCAGAAAAACTTTCAAGAGCCCCTCTCCCCTGATCCATGCCATTGGGGGCAACTCAGGAAAGGAAGGGACGGCTGCAGAACAGGGTGGAATTTGTCCGACACTCAGGAATGAAGGGGTCCTCAGCTCCGTCAGGCTATTAGGTGACTGGGGGATGGGGCATTGCAAGGGGCTTTAGAGAGAGTGTGAGCAGCTGGTGAGCTGGGATGAGGATGCTGCAGAAGAGAACGAAACAGAAACAGTAGACAGAGTGCAGATAAAACATGAGTCCCAGAGGGCTCCAGCCAGCTACATCCCAGGCAATCAGGAGCCCAGGATTGGAGACCCCACCCCTGCTGTGACATCACAGGGGAGTGGGGTGGAGACGAACAAAAAGGGGGTCGCCCTCCCTGGTCCTGGCCTCTTGGAAGCCCGAGTATCAAGAGCAGAGAGGACCTGACTAGGGTTGCTTGGATTAAAGGGACAGGCGCCCCATTCCTCCCACCCCTTTAAGCCGCCCCCTCCAGGCCGTGATCTCTGTCTCCCTGTCCTGTAGAAACTCCCTCTCCTGAGGCCACCACTGGGCCCCCATCCGAGTGTCCCCTGACCTCAGCACTCTCTCAGCATGAACTGCATATCCGACTTCTTCACCTATGAGACCACCAAGTCAGTGGTGGTGAAGAGCTGGACCATCGGGATCATCAACCGAGTCGTTCAGCTTCTGATCATCTCCTACTTTGTGGGGTGAGTGTGTGGCCCTTCAGGTCTCTGGCGGGGCGGGTCACCTGGCGTCCTGTCTTTGTCCTCCTGCCTCAGTACCACCCTCCAGCTTCCTGAGCTCCTTTCTTCTGTGGAGCTGAGTCCTAAAGACTGACCCCCGCCACCCCCACCCAGGATCTGAATTCACCTGGATGAATTCTTCTCCCAGTTCATCCTCTGGAGTTCAGCGTGGTTTCAAGACACACACTCAGAGGAGTAGGGTCCCTGCCCTGGCACTGCCCTCCACCAAGGGAGGTCTCGGGAGCACTATCTCCACCCTCCCTGCTCTCATCTCTCCAAGCAGAGAGCAGGCAGACCCCCTCCCACATCTTCGCATTCCCTTCAGCCAACTCTTTTGGGTCTCAAAAAGACAAGACGCCACAGGAAGGGGGAAGGGAAGGCACTGAGACAGGGGAGTGGTGGCAGGTCGGTCAAGTTGGTGGCCGGGAGGGAAAGAGGAAGCCGGATCCGTTTGAGAATGAGGACTTTCCTTCTGGCGTGGATGGGCAAGATGGTGAGAGAGAGAGAAGGGCAAGGGAGAAGCCCTCTTCTCTTGGACTGGAGGACAAAGAGGAACTACCCCTTGATGAGGAAACAAACACAGGTCCAAGGGAAGAGTGGCCAAGGAGAGAAGTAGCTTTTCTGAACATAATGCGGCTCCCTCCCTAGGAGTCCAGGAATGCTCCCCTTCATCAAAAAGTCTTACGTTCCCTACCTCTGCCTTTCCCTGCGCCATGTAACCCATCTTAGGAGTTGCTTAAGAGCCGGGAAGGTGCAGCCATCCCCCTCGGCCCCCACTGCCTGGAAGTACACACCTACATACACACACACACACACACACACACACACACACACACACACACAGAGCTGTGGAGCAGACAATGGCTGGGAAAGAATGCAGGTCCTATCCTTCTTGAGTTCATTTCCACACACTGGGGGGCACCAGGAAATACAGGCAGAAACCTCCAAGGTTTTCTTTCCTGGCATGCGGCTCTCCAGTCTCACCCTGTTCTTTGAGACAATGGGTCTGTGTATTCCAGGCAGCAAGCCGCTGACTGTCAGGAATTAGTTCAAGCAGGTCAAAGGAGAATCCTGTGTGCCTCTGGGCTGAAGCTGCCTGCAGCCGGCTTGCCTGAAAAGTTCAAGTTTCTGTGAGGGTATGGAGGGAAAGGTGGCTAGATGTGACTTCTTAGGTGATTTTCTGGCTCTGTGTGCTGGGCGTGAGCTGGCCGGCTTCAGCGGGCAGGTGTTGTGAAAAGCCTGCACCATCCAGTGCTCCTTTGGGAGATTTTCGAAAAGGGATGCAAGCTTCGCGATAGGATTAAATGGCCTTGGAGTTTCCTTCCAATGTTGAGGTTTTCTAAGATATGAGGTTTGCAAATGTTCACTGTCTGCATCTCCAGAGCTTGGCTCGCAGTTGGTTCTTAAATGTTCTGTGTTCACGTGTATATTCAATGCTGTGGTTGTTTATAGCCACAAGATGGTATGTTGGCCCAGGTGAGTGCAAAAGCTGGCTCAGCACATTCCCCATCTGGCCTGGCTCCATTGGCTCCAGGCAGGGAGACTGATGGGGGATACAGAATGGGCTCCTAGACCAGACTACTCAGCCCCCACTGCCCTTGTCTGTCTCTCATCATGATCAGATCGAATCCTCCAGTTCTCAGGGCTGGAGCCCAGCCTGCTGGAGCGAGCCCGCGAAGCTCTTTGGCGTCTTAATTTCCAACCCCATCCATCTCCAAGCCTGACAGCTCCCCATGGGACAGTGCCTTCCAGTTACATCAGCGCCCTCTGCAGCCCAGCCCCCTGACCTGAGTCCCATCTCCGCGTATGTGAACCCAGGCACATTGTGACTTCATGAATCCACCATCATTAATTTAGCCAAAACGCACCAGCATCTCTGCATGCCAGGCACTGAGGACCGAGGACGGAATGATGGGCAAAAGCAGATGGGGTCTTCACCTCGTGGGGCTGACAGTGGGAGGCAAGAGATGGACATGCATCTGATGAGCTCCACAAATGTGAAATGTCAACCGTGGCTTGGAGGTGCACAGTTATAGGAGAGCCACTTCTGTGAAGGTGTTTGGCCTGGTCAGGGAATAAGGGAAAGCTTTCTGGCGATGCGACATTTTAGCCGAGACCCGAAGGACAAGTAGGAGCAAACCAAATGAAAGAGCGAAGGAAGAGCGTTCAGGGCAGAGAAACCTCCCTCTGCAAAGGGAAGGAGCCTAGCGAATAGAGGAAAGAAAAGAAGCTCCTTGTGGCTGGAGCCAAGGGCAGCAATGAGGGGGATGTACAGTGGCTGGGAACATAAACAGGGGCCGGACCTCGGACATCCGTAGAGAGCTTTGGTTTTTACAGGAGATGAATAAACAGAAGCCACAGAAGCATTTTAACCCGTGTGTGTGTGTGTGTGTGTGTGTGTGTGTGTGCACCTGTGTGTGTGTACACGTGAGATTGAGAGAAAAAGAGAGACACACACAGACACGATGAGATCTGAGTTGGGAAGAGCACCCAGGCTGATGCACCCAGAAGTGGAGGGAGTAGGCGGGGGTGCAGGAAAGCCTTTTAAAAGGCGGCAAAGTCATAAGGAGAGAGGTGACAGTGGCTTGGACCCAATCGAATTTGAAAGGATCTTTAAGGCTACAGTGTTAGTATTTCACTGATAGTTCAATCTCTTCCCCATCATCCCAACCAGGTGGACAACCTAAACTATGCCTAACACGAGCCCATCATTTCTCTGAGGCCCTCGCAGCGACACGCTCTCACCCCCGGCCCCTGGCCTTAGCTGCCTGTCTGTGGTTGATACCACTTGGTCGCTGTTCTCCTTTACCCACTCCAGGGCACGCAGAGAGGCCTGGGCTTACCTGGAGCTTCTCACATCTTTTCTGGGCCCAGGTGGTAATCCCCAGGTGGTAATCCCACTCTTCTCTGTGGAGTGGGACTTCCTGAGAGCCCACCCCCTTTTTGGATCCTGTGGGGACCCAAGAAGTTGAAAGAAATCCCTGAGACCTGAGTCCCTGGAAGCAACAGCCTGTGCTTGGCCTGAGGTTGATTTCCAGGGCCTTCCTGGAGGAAGCTGCCTCCTTGCAAACCAGCGAGCCGGGGACTTCCAAGCCAGGATCGTTGGTGGCTGCTGGAGCCTCTGACCCCATCGCAGCCCTGTCCCTCTCACATACAAGGCCCGGTCCGCAAATTCACCATCTGTATGGCCCCAGGCTTTGGTTCGTAATACTCAGCCTCATTCCAGATTTTAGGTGGGAGTTCAATATACAAAGCAGGTAAAAGGGAGGTGCTGCTCTTGTTTAAAGAGAAGGGTCTAGAATCCCACCTTCTCAGCTCTCCACCCCATCCTCTTGGCCCAGGGTAGCACCCTGACGCACCTTGTCAGCACACTTAAGTGACAACTGACACACATATGGTGGGAAGAACGGTTGCGCTGTTGCATCTATTTTTTTTTATTTTTATTTTTATTTTTTTTTTGAGACAGAGTCTTGCTCTGTCCCTCAGACTGGAGTGCAGTGGCACAATCTCGGCTCACTGCAACCTCTGCCTCCTGGGGTCAAGCGATTCTCCTGCCTCAGTCTCCCAAGTAGCTGGGATTACAGGCATGTGCAACGATGCCTGGCTATTTTTTGTATTTTTAGTAGAGACAAGGTTTCCCCATGTCGGCCAGGCTGGTCTCAAACTCCTGACCTCAAGTCATCCACCCGCCTCGGCCTCCCAAAGTGCAGGGATTATAGATGTGAGCCACCGCACTCGGCCAGATGTCTCATCTGGACCACTCGGTCATCCAGGTCCAGACAGAGGAGTGACTCTCATTTCTGCCTGCCCTCTCCCCGCATGGGGAACATGGAACACTTGGTTAGAAGCCTGGCTCTGCCACCAACTAAGAGAGGGCCTCAGATGAGTGACTTTATGCCTCTAAATCTCAGTCCCTGTATCTGGAAAATGGATTCAGGAATACCTCCTCCCTGGGAGTTACAGGGAAGGGAGGTAACATATGTCAAGTGCCTTGCGGAGATGGTGACTCAGTAATAGATGGCAACTGTGACTATTTCACAGGAACCCCCATCACCCCTCCTCCTTTCCCTCTGCCCAGCTCACACCTTCCTAAGACCCCTCTCCTCCTCCCACACAGCAGCGTGCACTCTTCACACCCACTCCCCAGCCTCTTCCTTGACTCCCTGGGGGTGGATGGGAGGGTGCTGGGGCGCGGCTCTGGCCTCCCTCCTGCACTTCCCACCTGCCAAGGATCTGCCACACGCCTTCCGCTCTATAAATAATAAACCATAAATGCGAGAAGAAAATAGTCAGAGCAGCAGCAGAGTAAATGCCAAGAACTGAAGGCTCAGGCATGCCCTATCTCCCGAGCCCTGGCCTCCAGAGACAGACTCAGCCCCTCCACTCTGGAAATGAAGCATCCCCTTCTTTCCAGCTGCCTCAGTGACATCCTCAGTCCCCGCAGGGCCACTGAAATTCTTCCACTTGTTATTTAACTCAGAGAGAGAATTCTAATGTGGGCTCTCCGCCCCACGGGGCACAAGAAGGAGCCTTGAAGGAGGAGGAGGAGGAGGTAGGAGATTGGTTGATTGCTCCTCGGAGTCCTTGGCCCTTTCCTCCTGAGACTTTCCTAACCCAGGAGATGCTCTGGCTGGTGATGAAGCTGGAACCCGAAGGACAAGCCCAGGGTCCAGTTTAGGGGCCCAGCATGGCTTCACCTTGAGCTGGGACACAGCTGGAGACCTTCGAGTGAAGGGGCTGTGAGTGGTCTGGTGCAGGCTGTCTGGTTAGAGCCGACATACCGGCTGTGCATTCCTGGGCAAGTGAGCACACCCCTCTGCACCTCAGTGTCCTCATTCATGACATGAGGGTAATAACAAAGCTGTCTCAGTAAGAATGGAGTGAAAGCCTAGCCATTGCCGCATTGGTATTATATAATAATCATCTGAACTCGGCATCCGCAAATGTTCCTAGACTTTAAAGACGCAGGGCAGGGGCCTCAGAAAACCATTTCCTTAGGTCGACGCTGAGAAACGTATCTATTCTGTGGCTAGGCACACTGGGGCTTTGTTCCAGAAGGGTGTGTTTAGACTGCAGTTTGCACTCTGTAAATGTACAGCTGTGGCCAACAGCCATCTTCATTGGAAGCAGAGAGCCTGGGCCCCAGACCTCAGGCCCTTCACTCCAGAGGGCCCTGGGCCATGAGCTAATAATGCTCATTTGGATTTCCTGTGACAGGAAGGCTCCCTTCTCTTCTGCCAGGATGCAGTATGGCAGATGGGATTTCTACGTGAGGCATACTTCCTTGTGAAATCTGAATGAAACCCCTCCCCTTCCAAAAAAAGAAGAAAAGAAAAGTGCTGAGAGATAAAGCAGCACCACAAAGCCCCATAGAAGGCGGTGTTCATAAGAGCATTTTACAAGCCTGCAAGTCACTGTAAGCGGTGCATTAATCAGGATGCCGCCCGCCCGCTGTAAAGCAGCAGCAGGAAAACAGGTAACGGGTTTGAAGCCATTTGTTGGTGCTGTGACTACACCCTTTCTCTCCCACTCAAGAGATCATTCCAAATTCAAGCCAGTAATACTACCAAAAAAATGATAGATCTGCGAGGGAGTAGGTATGATCATTAGCATGACACATAGTCATTCCACAGGTATAGGCATATCAGAATACTCACACTGTGCCCCGTGAATACATGAAATTAGTGCTTATCAATAATACATAGGGCTGGGCATGGTGGATCATGCCTGTAATCCCAGCACTTTGGGAAGCCAAGGCGGGCAGATCACTTGAAGCTAGGAATTCGAGACCAGCCTGACCAACATGGCAAAACCCTGTCTCTATTAAAAATACCGAAGTTAGCTGGGTGTGGTGGCACGCGCCTGTAATCCCAGCTACTCTGGAGGCTGAGGCATGAGAATCGCTTGAGCCCGGGAGGCAGAGGTTGCAGTGAGCTGAGATCGCGCCACTGCCTGGGTGACAGAGTGAGACTCTGTCTCAAATAATAATAATAAATAGTATTTGTCAAAATTTTAAATTTAAATTGGAATAAAAAGAAAAGATTCAAGCGAGCAAAGGAAGCCTCATTATGGGGATAACGCCAACCTCTCACTGAAAACTGAACCACTTGCAAATATCCGCGGTGTTTGCAGTACATAGGATTGTGGTGTCCAACCTACAAGTGACTGGGACAATCCCGCACCCACCCTGTACGTTCTGGGAGCTGCTGCTCTTTGCTTGTCCCAACAGTAGGGGACCCCAGAGGACCCCAACCTCCACCTGAGGGACGGGCCTCCTCTCAGCACCTGGCAGGTGAGCATCATGCTGTCCTGGAGTCTTCCCAGACGTGTGGCACACATCTGGTGACTTCCCACAGCAGCTGGTTCTGGGCTTGAAGTCCTCACCCACCTCCTTATAGAATCCTCAGGTCAGCCCAGCCCCTGCCTCTCCCGATTGCCAGCCTCTGACTCCCACAGCTTTCTCTTCTCTGGGCTGCACAGTCTCAACATCCTTCCATTCACCTTCAGCTGGTGTGGTTTCCCAACCTCGTGCCACCCTGGTTAGTTGCAGAAAATGCCCTCACCCAGCATTTCCAAAAGCCTGCTCCTCAGTTCCGTGAGAGGTCACCAGTATTTCTCCAAGACTGGCTCCTGTGGTCAAATAAGATTGGGAGACAGGGTGACAAAATGTAAGAGATGTAATTGCTTGTTTACATTGTATGTTTCTCAGGGGGAAGGGGGGCTGCATGGCATTTTCTAAACGTATTTGATGAGGTTTTCTCATCTGTCGAATGCGGACGGCGGGAGCATCCACCTCCCTCCCAGTGTGCCGTCAGGAACACATGCAACCTTGCCGAAGGCTGGAATGTGGTATGAAGTGAGGCTCAGCGGGGCTTAAGCCTTCAGGGCCGTGATTGGCGATTTCAAATGGAAAGGCAGGCAGCTTGTAGGAAAGCAGCGGCATGAGATGCTAGCAGGTATCTGCAGGCCCTTCTTGCCGAAGGCCAGGAAAGTCTGAGGGGGAAGGTAGGGATGGATGCAGGGAAAAGCCTCATCCACTTGGCCCCATAATGGCTTAAAGCTGCGGGGAGGAGCCAGTACAGGTAAATGACCACTGGGTGGCAGCACAATCCAAGGAATAAGATCAGAAGCCTCCCTCCCGCCTGCCCCAGCACCACCCCCCCTTCAACCCAACTCCTTCACCTGCCAAGTAAAAGCTCAGCCGCGGCCCCCTTCCTCCTCCGTCCTCATCTGACACCTGGGCAGTTGGATTCTGCCAAGCACCCAGCTCCCAAGCACCTTCACTGATTTGTTTACGGAACTACTTTGTGTTGGGTGCTTAGGGTACCGAGGCCCGAGGCCTGGGATCCTCTGTTCCTTCTGTCTCCTGGGTTCCTGCCAGAGAAGTGGCCCCCATCAGCAGCATGGAATGACTTTGAGCCATGCATTCTCAATGGGGCCATATGGCCCCCAAGGAGGTGAAAATTGGTTCTCACTCTTTTTATGCATAAAGCACAAATTTGCATACAGTACATAAGCAGATATCTGTGATATCAAAGTTTCATGGAGAAGGGGACCACTGGGGGGTGGGAAATGTCCAGAAAAGGCACCTGAGGGGTGGTAATGGGACAAAGGTGGAGAAACGCTATTCTAAGCCAACCAAGGGCTCACTCTAGGTCTCACACCTCCAGGAGGAACCACCTGCACACCCTGCCAGGTGTGTCCAAGTGTTGGCAGGAAGGTGGCCTCTCCCAGCTTGCCTGCTGGGTCTATGGACTTCTCTCTTTCTCTTCCTTTATGCGGGCCTGCCCCAGGTGGGTTTTCTTGCACGAGAAGGCATACCAGGTTCGAGACACAGCCATTGAGTCCTCGGTGGTGACCAAGGTGAAGGGCTTCGGACTCTACGCCAACAGAGTCATGGACGTGTCTGATTACGTGACGCCACCCCAGGTATGGTCCCCCTACCCAGAGAGGCAGGTGGAGGCCCCGACGCTGGGTAGGTTGGAGGGGAGAAAGCAGAGCAGAAAGAGTGCCAGTGGGATTCCCAAGCCAGAATCCACGATGTCAGTGATCCAGAGGACCTCTCCCCTAGCAGCTGAGAGCTGTGTGGGAGTTTGGACCTGCCATGCTAGGCATCAGGAAATCTGGGCTCCTCTGGGGCTCTGTCACGACTTGTACTGCAATCAAGGACAACACGGGGGAAGGAGGCCGTGTGGGTGGCTGCAGAGAGCCAGCTCTGCCCCTTACCAGCCCTGTGTCCTTGGCCACGTCACTAAACACGAGGCTCGGTTTCCTCATCTGTAGAGTGGGGATAGTAAACTGTGTCCCTGTCTCACAGATTTGGACTGTTGCATGTTTTTCTCTCCCTTCTCTTACCAAGGGCACCTCGGTCTTTGTCATCATCACCAAGATGATCGTTACTGAAAACCAGATGCAAGGATTCTGCCCAGAGGTGAGGGGAGGAGAGAGAGAGGCTGGAGGAAGCCGGTCAAGGCTGAAAACATTGGTGGGAGTGGGCGTCATGACAGGGAGGGGTGGGGTATAAGCAGAAGCCCCAAGGCTGACCTTGCTGCTGGGACTGGGGACCTCCACCCTTCTGAGGCTGCTGGTTGTGGAGAGGTCGTGGGAGCTGAGCAGCTCACCAGGCCAGGACAGGGTCCTTCACCAACCTTGTGACTTGTCTCCCCACAGAGTGAGGAGAAATACCGCTGTGTATCAGACAGCCAGTGCGAGCCTGAGCGCTTTCCAGGCGGGGGTGAGTGCAGCTCCTTCCCCACCCCCACAATCCCAGGTGTTGGTGGAACCCCCTGGGAGTCCATCCTGGGGGCCCGTCATTGGAGAAGGAGTGGGAACCAGCCTGTTCCTTGTCATTCTGCTGGCATTTACACATACTCCCTGGGTGCCACACCCAGCGGGTGCTACGAGGTTGACACGGCCCCTGCCTCCAGAGGAGTGTCCCGTCTAGGATGGTGGAGAGACAGGGATGCTTGAAGTGGCGTGTGCTATCCAGGAGGCACAAAAGACTCTGGAGCCTGGGAGAGGGAGAGAGACTGCTTCTGGGTGGGCGGCGCCAAAAGGCTTCCTTGAGGTGGTAACATTTGGGATGGTCCCTGAAGATGAATAGGATTTGGCAGGACAGAGGGGGCTTCAAAAGCGCATTCCAGGCGGAAGGAACAGCTGCAGCACCGGCTCAGAGGCAAGAAAAAGGGAGCAGGAAGAAGAGGGGTCCTCGGGGCTGCTGGGGCTCGGGGCACGTGAAACGAAGGCTGTCACCGCCCTGTGGCTGGGTCTGGGGCCTGGGAGAAGCAGGAGAGAAGTCAGCTCCCGTTCCCCTCCCTGTTCTTTCCCTCCACTTGCTAGGGTCCCTGATGGGGGGAAGGAAGGGAGGGGGAAGAAGAGAAGGGAGAGGGGCAAAGGGCAGGCAGCCGCCCAGCAGCTGTGGCTCCCACTCTAGGGATTCTCACTGGCCGCTGCGTGAACTACAGCTCTGTGCTCCGGACCTGTGAGATCCAGGGCTGGTGCCCCGCAGAGGTGGACACGGTGGAAACGTAAGAGGGGAGCAGAGAGGCCCCACCTCAGCTCCCCTTTGCCCGTGTGGGAGCCGTGCGTCTCTGAGCTTCAGGAGGGTCTGTGGCTCTCCCCAGTGCTGTCCCTTCCTGGTGTGGGGGGTGACCTCGGGCCCAGGGTATCATCTTCTCTTCCCCAGCCCATCCCACCTGCCTCCTCCTTCTCCCGCTCTGACCCTCAGGCCCAGACAGCCCCTCCCTGTTGCCAGCTCTCAAAGTGCCCTTTATCTATAAAAGGTTTCCCTTTGGAGACGTCCACCAGGAAAGATTGCCGTGGGGTGGAAGCCTTCACTGCCCTTCTTCCCGGGAAGCTTAGGCCTCCTGTTCTCACCCACAGGCCCATCATGATGGAAGCTGAGAACTTCACTATTTTCATCAAGAACAGCATCCGTTTCCCCCTCTTCAACTTTGAGAAGTGAGTCCTCACGTCTTCCCTAAAGCCAAGATGCGGGCGCCCGCCCCGCCCCGTCCCGCCCCGCCCCCTTGTTTTCGGGGAAGTGGAGATGCCGCGTTCCTCACAGTTCCCACGTTCGCCCCACTAACCCATCTCCCTGGACCTTCTCTTCCCAATCTCCCAGCGGGCCTTGGCCACTCACTATCAGGTGAACTTTGGGGTCATTTTCTCTGCCAGCCTCCCTGTCTTGGGGTTCATGCCCAAATGGGAGTTTTGCTTGGGGCAGGAGAGAGACAACTTAAGCCCAGTCCTGGGTCGAGGATGCCTTCAACAGCTGAAACCCTTTCGGTCTCATCCCATTTCTTTTTCCCCACATCCAGACCATGTGTGGAAATCCCTTTTCTCTTAGTTCAGTGCCCGCTTCGTTGACTCCTTCATTCCACAGCTACTCGGTGGGCATTGACCCTGTGCAGAGGGCAATGCCAGGCACAACAGTGTACTGGGCTGGGCGTGGTGGCTCACGCCTGTAATCCCAGCACTTTGGGAGGCCAAGGCGGGTGGATCATGAGGTCAGGAGTTTGAGACCTGCCTGGCCACCATGGTGAAACCCCGTCTCTACTAAAAATACAAAAAAAAAAAAAAAAATAGCTGGGTGTGGTGGCACATGCCTATAATCCCAACTACTTGGGAGACTGAGGCAGAAGAATTGCTTGAACCTGGGAGGCAGAGGTTGCGGTAAGTGGAGATTGAGCCACTGCCCTCCAGTGGATGACAGAGAGAGACCTCTTCTAAAAAATTTTTTTTTAATGCACGGAGTAGCCAGGAGTGATCCCTCCCCTCCCGAACTCGCAGCCTGGCAGCCGGTGGAGATTAGTCAGCGGCATACATCACCCTGATACAGGGAAGGGGGGATGGGGCGCCAGAAAGATGCGGGGAAATGAGAGAGGGGAGGGAGATGGCGAGGTCCAGATGAGGGCTGAGGATTCAGATCCCCCCCTAGGCTTGGAGGGCCCCGAGGCTCCGAGGCTCTGGAAAGCCGGGGGAGTTTGCACAGAACGATCTTCCCAGGAACCCTGGGCCAGCCTCTCTCCCCGCTCCTCCCCAGGGGAAACCTACTTCCCAACCTGACGACCAGGGAGATGAAGACCTGCCGCTTCCACCCGGACAAGGCCCCTTTCTGCCCCATCTTGCGGGTAGGGGACGTGGTCAAGTTTGCGGGACAGGACTTTGCCAAACTGGCGCGCACGGTGAGGAGCCAGCCCTTCTTCCGCGGCCCCACTCCCAGGTGCAGCCCTGTCCCAGATGCCAGGGCCCTGCGGCCAGCCCCGGCCCGGAGCCGCCGCGGGACAGCGTCACCTGGTGGACACATCCCAGTACTGCCACCGGCTTCGTGCCCGTAGCCTTTCTGCTCCCCCCCCCGCCCCCGCCGCGCCCACCCTCCTCGGGCCTCAGTTTCCCACTCCCATCTTCACACTTCACCTCGGGGAGAGGCCTTACATCTGTGGCAAGGCCCATACGATGGGAAAGCAGACCTGTGGCCACTGACTCCTGTGCCGTAGCTAAGGGACCGAAGATCCCAAAAGTGGGACTCAGAGGTTCCAGCGTTGGCACCGAGCCAGGGCCTCGACCCAGCAGCGTGTGACGCGTCACTGTCCGCTCTCCCCGCCTCCTCCTCCCACCTGCCACCTGGAGGACGGGAGGAGATCGTCTGTCACCACCTCCACCCCACCCCCACCCCGGCCCAGCGCAGGGGGGCAGAGGGCGAGGGGGAAAGCTCATACACGGCCCCTTTCTTCAGGGGGGAGTTCTGGGCATTAAGATCGGCTGGGTGTGCGACCTGGACAAGGCCTGGGACCAGTGCATCCCCAAATACTCCTTCACGCGCCTGGACAGCGTTTCTGAGAAGAGCAGCGTGTCCCCAGGATACAACTTCAGGTAATTCCCCAGCTCCTGGGACACAGGAGAAGAAGGTACGCGCTGTTCTAAAGAACTTTATTTCAAGCAGCAATGTTTATCGGAGAGACAGGATCTCACATCCACCCACCCCTGGCCCCAAGTCCCACCTCAGGTTTCATTTCAAATCAGGAAGGCCTTTTTTTTTTTTTTTTTTTTGAGACGGAGTCTCTCTTATCTATCTATCTATATCTATCTGTCTATCTATCTATCTATCTATCTATCTATCTATATTTTTGAGATGGAGTCTCACTCTGTTGCCCAGTCTGGAGTGCAGTGGCATGATCTTGGCTCACTCCAACCTCGGCCTCCCGGGTTCAAGAGATTCTCCTGCCTCAGCTTCTCGAGGAGCTGGGATTACAGGCACCCGCCACCTCGCCTAATTTTTAGTATTTTTAATAGAGATGGGGTTTCACTATGTTGGCCAGAATGGTCTCGATCTCTTGACCTCATGATCCTCCTGCCTTGGCCTCTCAAAGTACTGGGATTATAGGCGTGAGCCACCACACCTAGCCAGGAAGGACTTTCTAACAACCATGAGGATACAGCTGGGTGTCCTGGGGGACGGTGTCTCCCCACCACTAGAGGGGGCCACGCCAAAGATTCCTGCTGCAGGTCAGTAGTTAGAAGAGAGGGCCAGGGTCTCTTGAAATGCTGAGGTTCTGTGATTCTTTGCCTGTTCCTTTCTCTGGCGTGAAACTGGAATGTGCCTACGTGACTCCCAGATAGGCCCATTCCCTGCCCTGTGGTACATTTTCTAAGTTTTCTCACTCTACAAAATCAGGGTAATAACTGGCATCATTTTACATTTCACAACATGGCAGTTTTGCACGTCTGTCCTCAAACACGTGTCGCCAGTAGCAATTACAATTGTCTGGTTCTTCCTCAATGCCTCCCCAAGCCAGAACTCAGACCCGTCCTTAAACATCATCCCCGTGACACTGAGACATCAGGGATCTTTTCGGGTTTTGTTTTGTTCTTCCATTTTGAAGAAGGGAAAGAGAGGAATCAGAGGACAAATTGCTTGGAAACAACTGAAAGTCCTTGGTCTTCTCCCACCCCAGTTTCCCCGTCTACGAAACGATGGCAGTATCACTGTGATCTAGAGGATCCAGCTAACCAATGTGTGAAAAGCTTCAGCTCTCTGTTTTGTCTCTGTATGACTTTTTCTCTATATTATTCATTGATTCATCCATTACACATGGGCCAGTTGTCTACTGCATGCTAAGACCAGCAGTTCTCAAAGTGTAGGCTACAAAGTCAACCCTACTTTTTTAAAGTTTTATTTTCTCTTTACTTGATACATAATAATTGTATGTGTATATGAGATACAATGTGTTGTTCTGATACATGTACACATTGCGAATTTCCCCCAGTTTTTGAATATCCTGAAGTTTCTGGCGGGGCTCTGTTAAAGTACACGGCGTTATATACTAAACAGCTTAATAGACTGAATAGGCAGTGAATAGGGAAAACAAATACATATAAAAGAATATATTTCAGTTATATTTGAATATAGGAAGATGTATTTGAATATATTCAAATAATTGTTACTCAAATTTCTTTTGTTGAGGTGATATTCTCCGATATAATGGCATGCATAAGCCAAAAATAATCATTTCACCTTTTTAAAATGTTAGTTTCTAACTTAAAAAAATAATCACCACCCCATTAAGCTTTATATTTAATACTTTAAAATATACATGTATATTCTCTGGAAAGAAGAATCTTTAAAAATTGAAAGTACTTTTATAATCAACTTCAAACTTAAAAAAAAACCATAGGAAACAACACATATTTTAAAGTAGGTTAAAAATACTGTTCGGCTCCCTGGCAGAAATTGGCATATTTATTCAGTTGGTATCTCACACTGAGATCAATACAAAGGATATTTGTATGGTGGCTTAAAATAGTAACATATTAATAAAATTCTCAGGATCTAAAATGCAAATTTTCATCATCATAACTTCCCTCTGGCCATTGGGAATTCTTTAATCCTCCAAATAACTCATTTGGCAGGAAAGCTCATGAAGAATGTGAATGTTATAAAGACCCCCAACTACTGACATCATACGGTTTTAGAACGGGATCTCTCATCTAAAGAAGAATTGGGCTGGAGTTCTTTATCTTTAGTTTATGGCACTGTGGCTGCCTTCCCTCCCTCCCACCTGAGCATAGAAGGATGTGAGACAGACTTGGTCCTAAATCAGCTTGGAGTGTTTATGGGGAGGCAGAACAGAGTATCTCCAAGGACCCTGCCTGCGTAATTCCCAGAGGCCTAAGGGAAACCATCCCCTCTTAGGATCCCAGATAATTAACTTCCCCCAACAAAACCCCCCAGGCCAGAGAAGGAGGCAAAGCTGCTTAGTTTGACCTTTGTGTTTTAGAAGTTTCCAGAGGGCCCACATAAAGCCCTGACATTGGGGGATAGCTGATATCCATGGCAAACAGAGGGCTCTGCCCAAGCCTCCTCAGTCCCTTCACCTGGGTGCCCACCCTCCATCCTCAAGTGCCCCTCACACTACTGGCACCCAAGGCTAAGCTAAGGGTCCATGTGTGGGAGGCTGCAAGGCCACCTTTCTGAATCCTCAAATAACAGAGAAAGGGTCACACAGCCAGGTTCAGTGCAGGCCACAGTGCAGTTTCTATGATATGGCTAAACTGATGCTGTCCTTTAGAATCTCACCAAGCTAGTTATTGGTAGAAACCATACTAGTCACCCTGTGTGTAAAGCACTGTGTGTGCTTTGGCTCAGCATTCCTTGCCGGCCTTACAAACCCCCCAACTTTACAGAGGAGAAGATGGAGTCTCCCTGTTCAATACGATTCTCAAAGTCACAAAGCAAGCAGGAGAGGGAGCCTGGATTCAAAACGTATTTTCTTGGATGACATCCACCCCAGCCAGGAAGACTAGGGACATTCGTACTTGTTAATCCTCAGAAAAAAGCATGACACTTTCAGCCCAGCTTAAAAACATCGAATCTAAGTTCCAGGGAGGCTTAAAACCCAGCAGATGCAGGCGGCACAATTCAGAGCCCGGCCTTTTGTCTCCCCAACAGATTCATATGCCACTCCCTCCAACAGAGGCAGATTTTTCAGCATCCCCACTGTTGCCGTTTGCTCTGGAGGGAATGGAATTATTCAGCCAAGATTCGGCCTTGTTTTAATCTGCTAACTAAGACATCCAGAGGCAGCTAGAGATTCACATTTCCATCACTAATTACATTCGCAGCTCCCTTCCAAATGTCACTCCCCCCACCCCTACTTTTTGTAGCTCTTTGCCTGCAGAATCAGAGATTTTGAGAATTTATAGCTGTTGAAGTCCCTTGCAGTCACCCAGAGTAAGGCGGTCATTTTCCCGGATGACGAAGCGGAAGTTCCAAAGGGGGCATCTGGAGTAGCCTCGGAAGTCCCTGGACCTCAACTCCTAATTTGACCTTTGCGATTAAAAAGAGTTGATAGGGGCCCAGGTAATCACCCTGGTATCGATGGCTGATATCCGTGGCAAGCCGAGTGGCCTGTCCATAATCGGACAGCTCCAGTCATTGGAAAGCTGGTCTCGAACTGAGCCAAAACGTGCCTCCCTTCAACTCCTCCCCAGTGTACTTGGTGCCATCCATGCAAATTATCTTTATTTGTGTGATTCCCCTAGCGGTTTCTGTTCTTCCCGTACCTGAAACTTAGAGGAGAGATTTTATTTTTACGCCTTGGTCTGTTCTGAGTGGCTAAAGACTCCGTGGGCCGCTTTAACTTAGTATTTTTATGAAGCTTCTTTCCAAGCACGCTGAGAGTGCATTTGGTGGGGTCATCTGGATTTCTAGCAAAGTGCAACAATGTCTAAAAATAAGAACTGTGGAAAGTCACCAGTTCAATGGTGCACAGGTGAAAGGCGCCCTCCACAGAGCCCTGCAGCTCTTCAAGAGGCTCCCTCTCTGTTAGCAAGGTTCCTGGGGCCCAGGTAGACCCTCAGGTCACAGGAGCAGTATGTTAACCAGAGTGAGTATAGAATATAGAATAACCAGAATATAGAATAACTATATTCCCCAAAGTGCTGGGAGCAGGTGAGGTGCGTATGTGAGTGTGTGTGCACATGTGAGTTTGTGAGAGTGGGTGTACTTGTTAGTGGGTGAATGTGTGAGGCTGAGAGTGTGTCACTGTGTGTGTGTGTGTGTGTGTGTGTGCGTGAGTGTATAGGCATTGATGGTGCAATGACAGATTAAAAATACTGTATCCGTCAGGGTCCCCGCAGGAAACAGATGGCACATTCTAACTGGGTAATCTGAGGAGAGTTTAATAAAGGGACTGTTTCAAAGGTGTGGGCAGGGTGTACAGAAACCACACAGGAGAATGCAGTGCCAGGGCCAGAAACGGGACACTGGTTGCCACCCAGGTCTGAAGAGGCGAGGAGAGGAAGCAGTGATGGGAACATGGAGACAGACAGAGCTGTGAGCAGCGGACAGCCTGACATGTGGCTGTGACTTGGGAGAGCCCCACTGGAAGCCAGATCTAGGGCAAAGCAGCCCACTGAGGCAGCCCAGGGCAGGGTGAGGGCGGGAGGAGCGTGGACTGGAGGGCCATCTGTGGGGATGTCCAGGACAAGTTCTGCCAACTTTTATCTGTGAAATCACAGCCCTTCCTTAGCTTTCAGAGATCTCTATGACCCCGATGAAAGCAGGGACCATTGCCCAAGGAAGGTGCATGTGTTCATAGACATGAGCACATTTGCAGGCAATTTCTCTTCTTAAAGGATATTTTCTTTTTTTCTTTCTCTTCTCTCTTTTTTTTTCTTTTGAGGTAGGGTCTTGCTCTATTGCCCAGGCTGGAGTGCAGTATCACAATCTCGGGTCACTGCAACCTCCACCTCCTGGGTTGGAGTAATTCCCCTGTCTCAGCCTCCCAAGTAGCTGAGATGACAGGCGACCACCACCATGCCCAGCTAATTTTTGTGTTTTTAGTAGAGACAGCATTTCACCATGTTGACCA